ATTAATAAACACCTTATTTCCTTGCAAGCAAAAGTGGCAAAAATCTTGTTTCAGTGCCCCAAAATCATGGTTAAACTAAGACCAGTTAAGATATTTTTCAGAGTTTAATATTACTGTTACTCAACAGCACACAAAAGGAGCAGTAAAGTGAACATTTGCATCAAAATCCACAAGCTGCTTGCCCAGAAATTATCCACTATTTCCATATTACCCTGACCACAGTTTGCAGTGGGGAAAATACTCCGTATCTTTGCAAGTAACAAACACTGACCTAAACACAAGGGTGCCAGGGCAAACAAAACAGGGGGGGTTACCCCATAAGAGCTAATAAGAGACAAAATGGGTTACGGAGTTGCCACCCTGGAAGAAATTTCTTGCAGTCTCCCAAGTGGTGATCATGTTACATTAAGCCACCTTGAGGGGGGATCATTTGGAGGGGTGGGGAAAGGGTGTTAACGGGTGCAGTTCTTTTAATGCTTCTTCGGAGGCAGTGTGAAAATCTACTGCCAAGCTCTGGCTTATTCTTAACAATGTGTGTATTTTTCCAAGCAACATTTCTTTTTCCTTAGTTTTAGACGTGCAATAAAAAGAAGTTCAAATTGTCCTTGGCAGAGATGCAGAAAGCTGTCCTGATTTTCCTTGAGGAATGAAACAGTAAGGCCAATTGGAGTGATAGCGTCAAAGAAGTTAACTTTCAGGAACCCTATCAAGCCCACCATCTGAAAAGCGGTTAATGAAAAAAGGAAAGTTTAATTGGTTTCAACCATTAGAAACAGGAGCAAGCAGGAGCAGTATTCTCTTCAAAAATTGGCCTTAGCAGTCTGTGTCATTTTCCCTTCAGGAACATTGAACAGTAGGAATGGGTAGTCACCTTCCGAAGATTTTTAGATTCTAGGAGGAGCAGTTTGGAGAAATACATCCATGAATCCAGCTGCAGGCAGAACAGCAGGTGCCCGAGTTCTGATAGAGGAGCATCACCTCTCAGGAGGAGCCAGGCGGGCCCAGGTCCAGGTGGGGGGGTTGCCACGGTGACAAGGACCCACCCTCCTTTGTGACATCTCTTGCTTCTCCTTTAAAAGCCACAGACTTGGAGGAGGCCATTAGTAGTGAGGCGAGTGGAGGAGTGAGGAGTTAGTGGCAGTTGGTGGAGATTAGGCGGAGGATTAGTGAATTGTTATTTTTTTTCATTTTCTTATTTTGATTTTTATTTCATGTATTACTTTTGATTTATTTGATTTATTTTGATTTTCTTTTATTCTTTTCTTTTTTTATTTTAACACTTATTTTATTGTTCTTTGTTTTAATATTTTTGTTCTTTGTTTTTTGTTTTTTTGTTTTTTGTGGACATCTGTGCATATTTTGTATATATTTTATATATTTTTATTTTGTACATAGAGCAGTAGGGTTGTGTAGGCTTAGGGTGGAGGTTAGGTGTATGCGTAGGGCAGGGGTTGGGGTGGGGTGGGGTCAGAGTTAAGCTTGGGTGGGCATTTTAGATAGTTAGCTACTTTAGAGAGGAGGGTGGGATCTTTTCCTGGACGAAATGGGCAGGCTGTAAGTAGCATTCCTTCCCTTTCTCTTCGTCTCCTGTGGGGGGGGGGTGAGTCCTGGGGTCTCCTGCACAGCCTTGGCTCTCTGGAGAGACCTGGTCTTTATTCAATGAACTGCTGCAACAGGACTTCCAACTACCACACGGAAGAAGCAGAAAGAAGTCCATTTTACCCACAACATATTTTAATAAAACGTCATACATACATCACATCTGTGTCACAAACTGGGAGGGTTTTTCTGGCGGAAACCTGAGTATCAGGTTTGCCCCTGTCCCTCCCTTGACCTTACACCCATTAAGTAAAACAAAGGAAAAGATATACATGTTCCTGTTTCTTAACCAAGTTGAGTACCCCCTATTGTCCTGGCCAAGTCCCCAAACCATGTAGGTTGGATCCACTCTTGTCCATGAGATGACGACCTGTCTGGCACTCAGAGACCAGGAGGGCAGTGATTACCACCCAGGCAGAAGGGTTGCTGTGTATGGGGTCTCATGCTTTAGGGATGATGGTTGCCCCTAGCCGTATCCCAAGTGCCTCCTCTGGTAACTATCTTCCTTCTGAGCAAAACAGCATTGGAACGGTGTCAATCCGATGTTGCATTGCTTTTATATGAATATTTAAAGGTTTTCCCGGCAAGACTTCCTGATCCACCTTTTCATGGGGACAGAAGGGAAGCAGCAGCTGTGAAACCAGATCAGGTAGGAGGAAGCGGCTTGTGGGGACAGAGACTGAGGGATGGAGCAATGTCATGGACTGGTTGGGCACAGAGGAATGGTGCGAGGAAGCAGCCAGGGAACCAAGTAGGGAAGATGTCTCAGAGCCCAGGAAGTGGAGGGGGGACAAGGATGAGCAGTCAGAGGGAGAAGAGGCCGGGTAACCAGGGGAGGGTAGCCAATGGGTCTCAAACCCTCGGTGAGTGAGGAACTTTCCCCTGTGTCAGAAGACATGCTCCAGCAGATGGAGCGGACGAGATCCAGAGAAGGCTGTTTCTGCACGTGCTGAAGAGGGCAGTGAGGGGCCGATGAGCTCCCGGGGCTATTTATTTCACTGACCCCCCCCCCCATTTTTCTTCCATGGAACTCAAGATAGCATATTCCAAAATAACAACAAACTGGGAGTTCTAATGCAGAGGTCAGGGCAGAGAAGGAGACCAAACACACCCCTACCCTTGCAGAAATGTTATCAGCAAAAGAGGGCAGTAAGCAGTCACTAGGTCTGAGCAGCAACAAGGGCTTAACTGTGCTGAATGAAGGAAGAAAGCACAGCTCATTTCCCCAAGCCAACACAAGGAGCTGCAAGTGTCATCTCACCGCCCCCTGTAACGGTCACTTTGGGGCAGAATCTGACCTTGTGTTCTCCTCCAAAATGGTCTGGGTGAAGAGAGAGGGAAAACTGAACACAGACGTTGCTCTCTGCAGTTGCTTTGAAGGAGAAGGGAGGACTCTGATTCCCTTTACACAGAGAGGACCATATGGGGAGAGAGAGGGCTGGTTTCCCGCAATGAACTCTCCCTGCAAATTTTGCAGGGTTCCCATACTTGCATGCTCATATTTTAAGAGATAAATGGTACAGACCAACAGAGCGAAAACAAACTGTGCGGGGAGGGGGAGAGTAGACAGTCTGCCCATTTTCCTTCTCCAGTTCTTGGCAATCTCTTTATGCCAGCTTCTTGCCAGGCCTATTTCCTTTCAAGGACCTTAGCGGCAGTTCATGAATACTGCACCTGTTCCCACTAATCCCTTTCGCCCTCTCTAGTGACTCCTTCAGTTGTAAAGAGCAGCTATGGATGAGAACAACATGAGCACAGCAGGAGGGGAAAAGGAGGACTTCATTCCTAAGGACATCTTTAGGAGTCGCAGGAGAAGCAGGAGACTGGAGAAGGGCAGGCGGGCGTCTCAGATATGTGTAGAGGTCAAATGGAGTAATATGAAGAGCACTTTCATGATATCTGGACCAGTGAAATGTATGGGAAAGCTGCAGGATGTGTCAAATCATGGAGCAAGAAAGTCAGATTGTATGTTCTGAGGATTTTTGCAAAGCCAGGGTTCTTGAAGAAGGTCCTCTGTGAAACCCGCCACTTCAGAGAAGTAAAGTACAGTGGTCCCTCGGGTTACAAACGCTTCAGGTTACAAACTCCGCTAACCCGGAAGTAGTATCTCGGGTTGAGAACTTTGCCCCAGGATGAGAACAGAAATCGCGCGGTGGCGGCAGTGGGAGGCCCCATTAGCGAAAGCGCGCTTCAGGTTAAGAACAGTTTCGGGTTAAGAATGGACCTCTGGAACGAATTAAGTTCGTAACCCATGGTACCACTATAAAGAGTAAGGCTGCTCATTCAAAGCACATCCCCCTCCCTCTACGAATCCTGGGCACTGCAGTTTACTCCTCACAGAGTTACAATTCCCCCCAGAATTTTTTGAATCAGCCATTATACAAACATCTTTTCTTAAAAAAGTGATGAAGTTAAATTAGAGAGTAGGTTAACACATACATGTAAGAACCTAAATGATTACACCAAAGGTCTAACTAGCCCCACATCCTGTTTCCCAGAATGGAAGCCCACAACCAGGAGATGAGGCCAAGACCCCTCTCAGGCAGCTGTTTCCCCAGCGACCGCAATCCAAAGACATGCTGCCTCTAGTCCTGAAGGTTGCATATAGCTATCGTGATAAGTAGCCATGGATAAACTCCTTTTTAAATTATTATTTTTTAAAAACCATTAAGTCAGTAACCATCACATCATGAGATAGCAGAATTCATCATTTACCCATGTGTTGTGTGAAGAAGTCACACAACTCCATACAGATTCTGCACAAGCAGAACACAAAAGCACTAATTTATTCCAGTGGGAATTCCTGGCAGTCTTATGAAGTTGTGGCTATTTGGCAAGGAGGTCAGAAAGCAAGGATGCCAGGAAAGACTAATAATGAGTGGCACTAGGCATCTGTCCCTTCTATTTGTATGAAGCAGGGTCACAAACCTGAGAAAGACAGGCATGGAGAGATTAAGTGGTGACAGCTTCAAGCGCTGGGAGGAGCAATAGTATAAACACAGCAGAGGACAGGCAACCATTACGTTTACAGTTATTTCTAAGGATACATTAAGAGCAGAGGGATGAGGACTAGGAGTAATGGGGAATACCTGGACCTATACAACACAGAATTCTCATCCTCTAGAAAAACTTCCTGAAAACAACAGAATCTTAACAGCAACTAGCTGCGCATTTTCACTCATGTATGTATAAACCAGCAACCCTAAACAAAACCACCATGTATTTTTTCGAGTATACTACCTACCCACACCGCAAACTCTCAATAATATTAATTTTATTATTTGCACCCTGCCCATCTGACAGCTGCATACAACACAATATATTCTCAACTTGGCTCCATGCAATTGGCTCCCACCTTCTGTAAAAGAGTGGAAGCAAGTAAAGGATATATGAATACATACCTGCTCTTCCTTTCAATAAGAATAGCCACATAAGAAGCTGGTAAAGCAGCGCCAAAACCAGGAGTCCAAAAATAAAATTTTCCAAGTATCCTCCTGAGGAAATAAAATGTGCAATATTTGTTATTCTGCATGCTAAAGCATAAAGAAATATTCTTGGGTTAATACACAGCATCTAGTAAGAGTGCATCTGTTCATATACAGTGGCTTAGATCCAGAGTAATTCCATTCATAGGAAACCCCCACAGGGGGAGGTAATTTTCACCAATTCCTCTTCCTTCAGCCCTCTGTACCTCCCAGAAGTGTGCTCCACAGTGTTGGGGTACTCTCCGGGAGAGTGTGGAAGGGGGCACAGGGGATTTAATGGAGAACCAGCAAAAATTGCTTCTTCCTTCCTCCTTACAGCAGGAGCTGTTTGCAAAACAAAAACTCTGGATCCAGCCCAGTATGACAGACACAAAGGCTGCATCAGGCAAAAAGCAGCCCATTGCCATCTCATGTTTCTTCTTAACAAGAACATCAAAGAACCTCATAAAATTTCATTCTTGTAACACCCAAGGAAGAACATCAATTTTACACTCACTATATTTCAAAGGATTACTTTGTTACAATGCACTACATCTATTTTCCCAGTGACAAAATATATTTGTTATCACAGGACAAGCTGTAGGCTGGTCCAGCCTATGCCGAAAATGTTTACTAGTGCCCAATAAAAAGGACATACTTAAAAGATGCTTGTTTAAACATTAAAAGACTGAAATGCCTAGAGTCCTGTATTTCTTTGAAACTCCTTCCTTGTAATTTCCCAGAAGCATCAATACTACCTTCTGGGTATTCTGTGTGAACAGCAGGGAACCACAGCACAAAAAGAGGCACTTTAGCTGACTTCCCTATACCTATGTCTTTCCCCTCCTCTAGAGTGCAAAGCATGTCAATTTGGTCAGGCTTCTGGTGACAAGGGTTAAGATTTTAACATATGTTTTGTGTGGTCTGTTTTCTATTTAGATGTTTTGTTTGTGCACATTTTATACTGCAACTGCTTTGGGTCCTTGGAATAGAGTTGGTTTCAAGTTCAAATCAATAGGTAAATTACATTTCCAATGCACTCATGGAATTTTATACCATTGACTTGGCATGCACTTATTTTCATTTTTTAGAGTGGGAGTGACTGCCTGGGACAAGAAAGAGTTAGAATCATAGAATTGTAGAGTTGTGGAAGGAACCCGGAGAGTCATGTAGTCTAACCCCTCCAATACAGGAACGTCAACTAAATCATATACAATGGTACCTCAGGTTGCATATGCTTCAGGTTACAGACTCCGCTAACCCAGAAATAGTGCTTCAGGTTAAGAACTTTGCTTCAGGATGAGAACAGAAATTGTGCTCCAGCACAGCAGTAGGAGGCCCCATTAGCTAAAGTGGTGCTTCAGGTTAAGAACAGTTTCAGGTTAAGTACGGACCTCCAGAATGAATTAAGTACTTAACCAGAGGTACCACTGTATGGCAGAAGGCCATCCAACATCTGCTTAAAAACCTCCAAGGAAGGAATGTCAACCAGACAACCAACCAAGCTGTGAAACTTCACAAAAGTTGTTTTGCCCCACCTTTAGCTCATAAATGGCAAACGTCATTGCACATGCAAGCAAGAAACCTAATAAAAACATTTGTGGGCTGGGGAATTATTCTGAACTTCTTAACAAAGTTTCTCTGGGCAATGCAACTATCATGATGTTCTTAGGAAGAACCCAAAGATGAGTTTCTACTATGTTGTCCAGTTTCACACCTTGAACTACAGAAGTGGCATCTGTCACTCCAAAAAACAAAGATAAATTTGCACAGCTTGGGAAACACAACTGCCAATATCAGAGGAAAACCTTTTCCCTGTCTAACTCTCTAAAACTAACCCTTTTCCCGGTTGATGTGTAAGGACTGGCAGCCCATTCTCCATCTTTCACGTGGCACTGCCCCCCTGAATGGAAAGAGGCAAATCTAGAACAGTGACTCATGCCAAGATGGAGCAGGCAGCCTTCTCTGGAGGCATGCTGTTCTCATCCATGTTTGCACTGTGGTCAATTAAGTGGCCCAAATGCAACCAAGACGGATACACATCAGAATTACTAACCTATGGTCCACCACTATGGTTGGAATGAAAGTTCTTTGGGCTTACATTTCTTTATTTTATTCTTACAGCACATTAGCAGCTCTCTCATAACATATTAAAGAATCTGGGGTGTCTTTGTTATTAGCGGTTCGATAATGTCAGAAAGAGGAAAGAAGCATGATTGCTGTACCTTGCACTTATTATTGTCCTTTCCCCTTCCCTCAAATGACCACACTTTGTTCCAAAATGTTAACAGTTGAAGTGGCAAATATGTTTGCATGGAAAGGAAGAAATAACACAATAAAAAAACTTCTCAAGCTCACTATGCCCTAGAGAACAAAACAAGACTGTGTACTTGGTAAATATTTCATTGTAAGCTGCTGATCTGTGCAAATGAAAGAGTTAAGAGACATTTCCTGAGCAGAAAAACGGGCTTGTTTTCATAATCCCACAGGATGACCCCTGATGGCAAGTAAGCACTTTTTAGCTAGCAAAGAGGAAACAGCACTTGTCTGCCATCTCCAGAATAGCGAAAATATGTGAATGTAAGCTCAGCAAATAAGCCCTAGGGATGGGGTGGGATAGCAATCTAAACATAATAATAAATAATGATGGGAGGGTTACATTTTAGCAGATACATTAATCTTGTTCCCAAAATAGCTGTAGTCTCTTTAAAAAAACCACACATAGAGAATTAGGACAGAACATGTCAGCCAGGGGTCTAAGGACCACTGGGATGCTGCACCTAAAGGGGTGACCAATCTAGTCCTATCCATCAGCCACAGAAGGAGCAGTTTGCAAGGATTTTGCTTCCTTTTTAGAGAAAACACAAAAATTTTCTAGCCACTATCAGCATGCTCTTTTCCTCCTTCCTCCTAATCACGTTTTCTTTTGTGTTATGTGCATTAGATTATAAGCCTAAAGGCAGGGACAGTTTTATTATTGGCATGTGTATGCCAATCTGCGAATCTTTTTTGCAGCTGAAGAATAAGGTAAGAATTTTTCAAATAAATAAATTCATTCCACAAGTCAACATTAATTACAGAAAATGCTATTTTACCATCCGCAAAGTTTGGCAAAGATGTAAAATGAAGTGAAACCAACCTTAAAATGCAGAAAAATGCAATATACAAACTTCCATTTGCTGTCAGAAAGGATGTTGATTGTAGGATCTCAGGGAGCAGTTTGTGCAAATAATAATCTAGTTTTCGTTTCCGGAGAATTGCAGCAATCTGAAAGAGATAAGCCAATTCAAGTTTATTTATGTATTACATTTTTTATTTCACTGTTCTGCCAACGAGCTCACATTGGCATACATGGAAATCATACTCTAAGAATGAGATTTGAATTAAACCCCTAACCAATTCATGAACTTTGGTTAACAAAATGAGTATTTTTGTAGAACTTCTTGCAGCTGTTAAACTACTTCTTCCAGACCAGAATGTATCAGGCATTCCAAAACTGTGATCATACGGGGGACATTTTAGCCAGACACAAATTTAAAAGTTTAGCTACTGCATTGTTGTTGTTTAGTCATTTAGTTGTGTCCGACTCTTCATGACCCCATGGACCAGAGCACACCAGGCACTCCTGTCTCCCACTGCCTCCTGCAGTTTGGTCAAACTCATGCTGATAGCTTCGAGAACACTGTCCAACCATCTCGCCCTCTGTCACCCCCTTCTCCTTGTGCCCTCAATCTTTCCCAACATCAGGTTCCTTTCCAGGAGTCTTCTCTTCTCATAAGGTGGCCAAAGTATTGGAGCCTCAGCTTCAGGATCTGTCCTTCCAGTGAGCACTGAAGGCTGATTTCCTACAGAATGGATAAGTTTGATCTTCTTGCAGTCCCTGGGACTCTCAAGAGTCTCCTCCAGCACCATAATTCAAAGGCATCAATTCTTAGGACTTGGGATTCATCCAGTCCAGCCTTTCACATGATGAATTCTGCATTTAAGTTAAATAAGCAGGAGACAATATATAGCCTTGTCGTACTCCTTTCCCGGGACGCGGGTGGCACTGTGGGTTAAAGCCTCAGCGCCTAGGACTTGCCGATCGAAAGGTCGGCGGTTCGAATCCCCGCGGCGGGGTGCGCTCCTGTCGCTCGGTTCCAGCGCCTGCCAACCTAGCAGTTCGAAAGCACCCCCGGGTGCAAGTAGATAAATAGGGACCGCTTACTAGCGGGAAGGTAAACGGCGTTCCGTGTGCTGCGCTGGCTCGCCAGATGCAGCTTGTCACGCTGGCCACGTGACCCGGAAGTGTCTGTGGACAGCGCTGGCCCCCGGCCTCTTAAGCGAGATGGGCGCACAACCCTAGAGTCTGTCAAGACTGGCCCGTATGGGCAGGGGTACCTTTACCTTTACTCCTTTCCCAATTTCAAACCAATCAGTTATTCCATATCCAGTTCTGACTGTTGCTTCTTGTCCCACATAGAGATTTCTCAGGAGACAGATGAGGTGATCAGGCACTCCCATTTCTTTAAGAACTCGCCATAGTTTGCTGTGGTCAACACAGTCAAATGCTTTTGCATAGTCAATGAAGCAGAAGTAGATGTTTTTCTGGAACTCTCTAGCTTTCTCCATAATTCAGCGCATGTTTGCAATTTGGTCTCTAGTTCCTCTGGCCCGTCAAAATCCAGTTTGCAGCTACTACATAGAACATACTAATTAATTACTGGACAATGTACTTTGTGCTCCAGTTTGAAGAATCATCTTTAAATTCCCACAGGCAACTTTATACTAGTTTCAACTGCCTTTGCAAGGCACTTACAATATAATGGGTTAGAGTCCTAGAATCATAGAATTATAGAGTTGAATTAAAGGGAACAAACTTTTCAGTCTTTCGATATTGTAATCCTATGCACACTTACTTGGAAGCAATCCTTAACTATGTCAATAGGACTTACTTCTGAGAAAGCAAGTGTGGGTATTTACTTTGAAAGTACTTTCACTAGTGGGATAAAGGAGGTATCTATCCACTAATGGGTTAATCCCTCCCTCCAGTTTTTAATGACTATCCCAGTCCTGCTGGCCCCTTCCCAGTTTTCATCCACAGCCAAGCCACTAGTAGACAGATATCAAGGAGGTGAGACTTCAACAAAAAGCCAGCAATTCAGAGCCCGCCAGAATCACACATACATAACTCAAAAAAGGTCCCAAACGAGCTTAGATTCAACAGTGCAGCGAGTATACTTCTCATGAGTATACATATGAAAGTATAACACTGGCAAGCAGGGGGAGCTCTGGATGCCTCATTCACTCTATCCCAGAAAAAATGCACTTTCACCCAAATTATCTTTGACATTCAGCCACTAATGGGATGTACCTTAGCTTAGTTCCTATAGAGCAGGAATATACTGTCAGTGTTGAAATCTAAGAGAGGCGAGCATTTGCTGAAATGCTCTCCTACTGAAGGTCGCCTCTACAGAAGCAAATAATCCCAGTTTGTAGCGTCTAGTGAAAGGAGACAGACTTCCATGTAGATGCCCTTCAGATAATAATAATAATAATAATAATAATAATAATAATAATAATAAATTTTATTTATATCCCGCCCTCCCCAGCCGAAGCCGGGCTCAGGGCGGCTAACAACACTAAAACAGTGCAACATTATAAAAACATTATAAAAATTAATTAAAATACAAATTGATGGCAACCATAAACTAAAGTTTTGTAAAGATTGCCAAAGGAGGGAGTCAGGCTGCGCCCTGACCAAAAGGCCTGGTGGAACAGCTCTGTCTTACAGGCCCTGCGAAAAGATGTCAAGTCCTGTAGGGCCCTTGTCTCTTGCGACAGAGCGTTCCACCAGGTTGGAGCCGCAGCCGAAAAAGCTCTGGCTCTAATTGAGGCCAGCCTAACCTCTCTGTGGCCTGGGACCTTCAAGATGTTTTTATTTGAAGACCGTAAGTTCCTCTGTGGGGCATACCAGGAGAGGCGGTCCCGTAGGTACGAGGGTCCTAGGCCGTATAGGGCTTTGAAGGTTAAAACCAGCACCTTAAACCTGATCCTGTACTCCACCGGGAGCCAGTGCAGCTGGTATAGCACCGGATGAATGTGATCTCGCAGCGAAGACCCCGTAAGGAGTCTCGCTGCGGCATTCTGCACCCGCTGGAGTTTCTGGGTCAGTCTCAAGGGCAGCCCCACGTAGAGCGAGTTACAATAATCCAGTCTGGAGGTGACCGTCGCGTGGATCACAGTGGCTAGGTCAGGGCGAGAGAGGTAAGGAGCCAACTGCTTAGCTTGGCAGAGATGAAAAAATGCCGCCTTTGTTATAGCTGCAATCTGCGCCTCCATGGAGAGGGAGGTATCGAAGATTACACCCAAACTCTTAACGGACGGTGCTGGCACTAATTGCACCCCCGCAAGAGATGGGAGTCCCAGCCAGAGGACCTCTGTCTTCGAAGGATTTAACTTCAACCGGCTCCCACGTAACCATCCAGCCACAGCTTCCAAGCATCTGATCAGTGTGTCTGGGGCCGAGTCAGGATGGCCATCCATCAACAGATAGAGTTGGGTGTCATCAGCATACTGATGGCAGCCCAGCCCAAAACTCCGGACAAGCTGGGCAAGGGGGCGCATAAAGATGTTAAAAAGCATTGGGGAGAGTATCGCACCCTGGGGCACTCCACACACCAAGGAGTGGCGGGATGACAATTCCCCCCCAAGCGCCACCCTCTGTCCCCGACCAGAGAGAAACGAGCGCAGCCATTGAAGGACTGTGCCCTGGATCCCCACATCGGCAAGGCGGTGGTCCAGGAGTTCATGATCGACCATGTCGAAGGCTGCTGACAGGTCTAGAAGAATCAGCAGTCCCGACCCGCCTCGATCCAGCTGCCTGCGGAGATCATCTGTTAAGGCGACCAGAGCCGTCTCGGTCCCATGACCAGCGCAGAAGCCGGACTGGAATGGATCCAGAGCCGATGGGGAGTTAATGGAGAATGCTGCACACACAACTGAAGATCTAATGGGGTATGCTGTGATGTGGGGAGGCTTAGAGAGATGGTGTGTGTTATAGGCCTGATGGATGCATAGTCTGAGTCAGGAAGCGATGGTGCAAAAGGACTTTGTGTGAAAGAACACAGAGAGGAAACATGTCTGAGAGAGCTCTTACAGCACAGTCTCCACACATTAGTCTGGGCATTCTTGAAAGAATGGGAAGGCTGGGAATGAAAGGAAATAGAATCAGCTTCTGTGATCCATGGAAGATGGAGACCACCTTCAATCTGAATGTCATGTCAAGGCGCAGGATGACTCTCTCCATATAATGATATCCATTTTTAGAATGCACACACAAAAATCTCTCTTTAAAAACTATTGTTACAACAACAAAAATCTCCATCTTCTCACCCATGCATTCTTCAGTGATATCTGAAATTACCGTATGTTTATCAAATGATGGGGGGGGAACAGCAGCACTTGGGAAGAAACCCCAATTTTATCAAAGAAACCTAGCTTCAACCTATTAATATACAATATTAATTCTTCTTAATGCATCTTGCTTTTAAGAAAACATCTTGGTTCTTTCATGAAAGAACCTACATGCATAGCCACAGAAGAGACACTCCTTTGTGGTGTGATCCTAAATAGTGTACAGCACTTCCTTAACAGTGAAGCAATACAGTACTTGTAAGTCTCTTTCACCCAACTGGCATCTTCCCTCCTGCCTAAGAGCTGAGAGAGACTCACAAGCAATCTCACCCCACATTGCTCTGTTTTTTTCCTTCTCCCATGGCAAACCTCTTCTGTTTGATCCGCCTTCTGCTACCCTAACCACAGGTCCCTATTTCTATTTACTATTTCTCAATTAATTCTTTTTCTCTAAATCCCATACGTTTTTTCTCTCTCCACCCCCATCTCCACTACTCAACCTCTCTTTTCACACCCACAGATCTCTCCACTCCATGCTACCCCTTCTCCCCACCCCTGCCCTGCCCCAGTAATTCACAGAGTGAAAAAGTGTCAGAGGCACAGTGAGATTCCCAATGTGGCTGGATTCAGCAGAAAGACCATGTGCCTCCAACTCTAGGGAGATAAGGGATAATACTCCCATTCTCACTTGTACCTGTCAGGCTTCAAGGTTCCCACAAAAAGTAGAAAAGGAACAGAAACAATAGGTATTGTGAACTCCTCCAGAAGAACAGTCAGGCAAAGGAATCAGTTTGTGGGCCTGGTATTGAATTGGCTTGCTCTAGCTCATACTGTAATAGTCTTTAAAAAAAACACAACTAAGAACACTTTTGAGACATGCTGCTTTTCTTCAGATTACACATCACAATCCAACAGTTAAATGTGTTTATGGACACAATTCAATGCATGTTTACTCAGTAGTAAATCCCGCTAAATTCAAAGGGATTAACTGCTAACTGCACCAAACTCTTTGCTATTTCATAACGAACAGCCTTGAGCAAACTAATTAAATGTTTGCAAGACACCAAAAGTGATACCGAAATCTAAACATGGACTAATTACAACAGCCAAATACATTCGGAAATGAATTAACTATTATCCTTCAAAAGCAAAAACAACAACACAATCTAATCTAATGGCCAATTTCATCTAGTACTGACCAGCAGTGGCTCAGTCCTCAACAGAAGTCTTTCCCAGCCCTGACACCTTACATCCTTTTACCCAAAGATGTCAAGGACTGAACTTTAGATCCTCTGTCTGCAAAGCCAGATCCTTTCCCCCTTCATCTTTCAACCTTCATGTATGCCTACCACTAAACCACAAACTCTGCTTGTATGAGCAAATGCACTGGGGCCACAGCTCAGTGGTATAGCATATGATGTTTTGCATGAAAAATATCCAAGATGCAGTCCCTTGCACCTTCAGTTAAAAAGATTAGGTAGCAGGTTGGGGAAGAACTCTGCCTGAGATCTTGGAGAACCACTTGGACTAAATATTGGGCTGGGCTGATAAGTTTGATCTGAAAGCATCCTTCTGCATTCCCCAACCTCCTAAACTCAAAATCTTAACCAGGATCACACATCAACTCTAGCAGTAATGACAAGCTCCCCCCATCTGAACCCCTGGCCAGCAGCAGCCAGTCAGCATGGACAATACTAAACTAGATGGACCAATGGTCTGACTTGATGTGGGTCAGCTTCCAACACATTTGGGCCACAGCTCAGTAGCCAAACAACTGTACTGTATGCAGAAGATCCCAGGTTCAATCCCCAGCATTTCCATGTAGACCTGGGAAGGTCCCTCCACCAGAACTGTAGAGTTAGAAAGAATCCTGAGGGCCATCTAGCCGAACAACCTGCAATGCAGGAATTTCAACTAAAGCATCCATGCAGGTGGCCATCCAACCTCTGCTTAGAAACCTCCAAAAAAGGAGCATCCACCACCTGTGGTCCATCCCACTGTCAAACAGCTCTTACAGTCAGAAAGCTGGATGGAGTGGTCTGATTAATCAAATGTTTGACTCCCAGTGGTATCCTTTTTCCCTCCCCCTTTGCCCCTTTCCGGCCTTCAAATGACACCCTACCCAGCAATTGCCACACATCCCTCTTCAATAAACCATTTTTATACCTTCCCACCCCAAATGCCACTTACCTATCCTTCTTCCTTCTTCTCCCCCCCCCAATCGCCACCAGTATGGCAAGGGACAATTTTAATACCCTCATTATAGGTAAAGGTAAAGGGTTAGGTCCAATCGTGGACAACTTTGGGGTTGTGGCGCTCATCTCGCTTTATTGGCAGAGGGAGCCGGCGTACAGCTTCGGAGTCATGTGGCAAGCATGACTAAACCGCTTCTGGAGAACCAGAGCAGCGCACGGAAACACTGTTTACCTTCCCACCGGAGCGGTACCTATTTATCTACTTGTACTTCATGCTTTCAAACTGCTAGGTTGGCAGGAGCAGGGACCGAGCAACGGGAGCTCACCCCGTCGCGGGGATTCGAAACGCCAACCTTCTGATCGTCAAGCCCAAGAGACTCAGTGGTTTAACCCACAGGGCCACCCGCATCCCACCCTCCGTATAGATCTATATATACATATAAAGTATATCTTTCCTGCTTCTCACCCCAACATCGCCACCAGTCTTTCATCTCCATCCCTCTCCAAAGGACCTTTTGAATACCCTCCCTACAGATATATAAAGGTAAAGGGATGCCTGACCCTTAGGTCCAGGCGTGGATGACTCTGGGGTTGCAGCGCTCATCTTGCTTTATTGGCCGAGGGAGCCAGTGTACAGCTTCCGGGTCATGTGGCCAGCATGACTAAGCCGCTTCTGGCAAACCAGAGCAGCACATGGAAACACCATTTACCTTCCCGCCAGAGCAGTACCTATTTATCTACTTGCACTTTGACGTGCTTTCAAACTGCTAGGTTGGCAGGAGCAGGGACAAGCAATGGGAGCTCACCCCGTCGCGGGGATTCAAACCGCCGACCTTCTGATCGGCAAGTTCTAGGCTCTGTGGTTTAACCCACAGCGCATACCTACAAATCCTTCCTGCTTCTTCTTCCCCCTTCCCACCATTGCCTCCTACCTGTCCTCCATCCCCATTCCTCTCCAAGGGGCCATTTGAACACCCCCTCCCTATATACCTATACCTATCATTTTCCCCTTCACCATGCCACCATTGCCACCAGCCTGCCATACCCCACTCCTCTTCAGGAACCCACTCTAATGCCTCCCACACCCCAAAGGGCACCGTCCCACCTCCATACCATACCAGGGGTGCCAAGTTGAATACAATATTGGGGAGGGGGGGAGGAGAGAGAGGAACAAGCAAGCCCTGCCCCACATAATCGATGCCAAGGCGTGGGGGACAGATACATACACCATTCGAATGGAAATGCCCCTCCACTTGGGGGGCGCCTCAAATCTTTTATTTGGCTCCCTTCATTTCCCCACCCCCGGGGGGGGTGGCAGGAGAAGAGGGGGGGTGGGCCCTTCCTCACCAGGTAGAGGGTCCCGTAGATGCGGAGGGATTCGAGCAGCGCCCCCTGGGTGATGTCCGCGAAGGCCCGTCCGCAGCGGGGGTGCCAGGTGTGCCCGATCTCGTAGCAGCTGTGAGGGATGGACTTGCTCAGCGCCGCCATCTTGGCCCGCAGCCGCTCTCTCTCTCTCTCTCTCTGGCGGAGGGGGGCTCGGGGGGAGGGGGAGGCCCCGAGCGCGTCACGGCCAATGCAGGAGAAAGGTCGCGCGGGGCGGCCCAAACCGCCGAGGTTACTCGCGGTCAACCGCCTCTCGCGCGCGCTGTGTATACGGCCGGGCCGAGGGGCGGTTTGCCGGCTCGGCTCGCGTGAGCCGCGGCAGCCAATCCGGAGGCGGCTTCTCGCCGCCGGGGCTGCGGATTGGGCGGAGTTGGCGCGAGCTGGAGAGGCACGAGCTCCTTCTCGCTCTTTTTTTTTTGTTACCCCCCCTCCCCTCTCCGCTTCTCTCTCTTGTCATTTGGGCCACGCGGGCTGTCACTCAAGGGCTGCGATGATGCACGACGGTGCTTTTGCAAAGGGGAGCAGCCGAGGAAGGAGCAAAGGTGGTCTGTGTGTCTTTAAATGCAGGCCTAGGGGAATGATTAAAAAACAAGGAGCATGTGGGTATATATGCCTAGTACTTAATGCAGTACAGTGGTACCTCGGGTTACAGACGCTTCAGGTTACAGACTCCGCTAACCCAGAAATAGTGCTTCAGGTTAAGAACTTTGCTTCAGGATGAGAACAGAAATCGTGCTTCGGCGGTGCGGCGGCAGCGGGAGGCCCCATTAGCTAAAGTGGAGCTTCAGGTGAAGAACAGTTTCAGGTTAAGAACGGACCTCCAGAACGAATTAAGTTAACCCGAGGTACCACTGTACTTAATGCAAGCCCATGCAAAGAGGCAAGAAACGTGCCTTGAGGCTTGCATTGGTGGAAACAGGCAATCAAAGCTGTTCTGGACGGAAGGCTTTGAGGAAATCTGCTTGCGGATTGCATAAGCAAGCGCTTGGCTGCAGCTCCCCTTGGGCTTGAACGCGATGTCTGTGTCCTTCGCCCCCGCTTTGGGTAGGAGGGTTAAATATCCACTGCGCTTAACCTTTCTCCCTTAAAGGAAGTACAGGAACCGCGTAAGCCTCCCCTGGATGGCAGGTACACCGCTGCTTGGCCGATTTGTGCTTGGTCCATTCGTAGGTTTGTGCCCTGGAGCATTGCACTGAAATGCTGCTTGGATTTCATCACTTGTTAACCTCTCTCTTCCCACGCTCTTATCCGTATGCGTGTATGCGCGCGCGCCAGTTGTAGCTGGCAACATTTTGACTTGGGACGGGGTGCATTTTTTAACCTTGCTGTTCTCATCGCAACAGCAGTTATTTAGGAAAGTGTGCTATTAGGCATGTGCAGAGTACCACTGTCTCCTTTCTACAGGAAATCAATTATTCTCTGCTTATCTATGGACAGGGAAAGAGTTTCCCTGTAAGACAGCACAAGTATGATTTTCAGGCAAAACTGACCTCTTATCTAGAAATTAAGCCATACCACATGAGTAAGTTTTTGAATTCATGTATTGTTGATACCTGCACATCTGTTGCCAATAAACTAAGGACACTAAAAAAAACTTTTAAAATGTGGGGGAAACTTGCATGTGGTTTTCCTTCCCAAAAAAATCAATTTAAAAACTCATTATCACTTCTCTAAAGTAAAGGAACAAAGTATTTGAACCAATAGACAAAAAAAATTGATTTTTTTCACTGTGCCAACACACAGCAAAGCACAACAGAACATATTTGCAATGCATGGACAGTCTTGAAAACGGAAAGTAACAGTTTCTGCCCATGTGCAGAGTACATCACACCAGACTATTCATAATCATCCTCTGTTGTGTCTGAGATTTGGGAGAGGATGTGGACATCATTTCCCTCCATTCAAGACATATTCTCTGCTTGGGGAGGGGGCTTGTAGATGCAGATCCACACATATTTTCTGGGTGTCCTCAATAAATATCTACAACATAGAATGGCTGAATCTCTCATTATCAGTGGAACTGGGTTCCCCAGTGCAAGAGCAACAAGTCTAAAGCCCCTTTCCCTGTTAGCTGCACGCCCAACACAAAAACACCACCAAGATATGTGGCACTCACACTACCACCTGCCAACAAACCATCATCAGATTTATTTGTAAGCCGCCATCCCATAAACATTATACTCCGAACATGTTGACACTAGCAGTGGGAAGAGCACAATGCCTTGCAAAACCAACCATTGCAATAATCCTCCCTCCGGGATTGTTCTTAATGAAGAGCAGGTTGCAAATATAAATAAGTAAGAGTCTTGCGGCCCCTTAAATAACAAATTGATTTTGGCATAATCTTGCTGCTCACTTCATCAGCTGCATGAAGTGCAATCCTGAGTTTGCAGGAATGTGTATACACATGGTTTGGGTGGGGTGAGGGAATTGTTAAAAGGGTTAGAGGGGAATCCAATGCGGAAAGTGTAGGAGATAATACAGCATGTGGTCTGTTGTTTGGTTGTTTGGTTGGTTGCAAGGTGTTTTGTCCTTCGCTGAAAAGGAGAGCGTTTGGGAAGTCCTTGAGAAATGCAGATACCTAATTTAAGAAAATAAGAGAGGCCTGCTGAACCAGGTCAAAGTCCCATTTGGTCCATCATGCTGTTCTCAAAACGGCCAGCCATTCTCAACCTGTGGGTCCCCAGATGTTGTTGGACTACAACTCCCATCATCCCGGAGCTCTGGCCTTGCTAGCTAGGGGTGATGGGAGTTGCAGTTCAACAACATCTGGGGACCCACAGGTTGAGAAAGGCTGCTAGCAGCAAATGAGCGCAACAACACTCTGCGCACCTGCAATTCCCAGCAAATGGGAATTTAATTGGCACAGGGTGTGGTTGCCAGGTAGAAACCATTTACTCACAAGGGAAGATTAAGAGCATGAGAACCTGCTGGGTCACACCAGTGGCTCATCTAGTCAAGCATCTTGTCCACGCAGAGGCCAACCCAACGCAAGTGAGAAGCCCGAAAACAGGACCCAAGTGCAACAGCCTCTCTTTGCTGGTTGAACTGTCAGTGTTGCTGACATTATTACACAGGCACTGAGGAAATTGGGGCAGTGTAACCTCCTGCTTTGGACACGGGTGGCACTGTGGGTTAAACCAGAGAGCCTAGGACTTGCCAATCAGAAGGTCGGCGGTTCAAATCCCCGTGACGGGGTAAGCTCCCATTGCTCGGTCCCTACTCCTGCCAACCTATCAGTTCAAAAGCACATCAAAGTGCAAGTAGATACGGTAAATAGGTACCGCTCCAGCGGGAAGGTAAACGGCGTTTCCGTGCTCTGCTCTGGTTCGCCAGAAGTGGCTTAGTCATGCTGGCCACATGACCCGGAAACTGTATGCCGGCTCCCTCGGCCAATAAAGCAAGATGAGAGCCGCAACCCCAGAGTCGGCCACGACTGGACCTAATGGTCAGGGGTCCCTTTACCTTTACCTTTAACCTCCTCCTTGCAACTTGCAAATGCCTACAGCTTACACCAGAGGGTTTCCTTGGTGATTGCAATGATGCTGCCATTGCACAGAGCAAGGGTGACTTATACACCTAGTCTTGGGGCATGTACAGAGTTCTGGCTGAACTGAGCTTCTTGGGTGCAGCATTCTGGGCTTCTGCCTCCAGGGACAAAGATGGATCATGGAGCATCCCCAGCCTGGGAACTACTTACCGGGAGTGGGAGGGGGGACAAAACCACAAATCCAGTCCATTACTGTGTGCCTTGATTCCTGTATTGCAAGGGGTTGGACTAGATGACCCTTGGCATCCCTTCGAACTCTATGATTCTGTGTTGGTCCCACCACCTTCACAGGCACATTTGGTGATAGCACAAGACAGGGCCTTCTAGGTGGCTGCTCCCAAATTGTGGAACTCCCTTCCACGGCGGACTATGCTGGTTCCCACTCTGCTTTCCTTTCACAGCAAGTAAAGACCTTTTCATTCCATCCAGCCTTTGGCTATTAAATGGCTGTTGCGGCAAATTACAGGAATATGCGGAAATGGCGCAATTGACCGGCAGACTGAGAGGCAATACAAGACAATCATTTATTCAAAAATGGGATATGTATAAGAGTTACTTACAGAAATATAATAGTGGTATAATATCTATGGCAGCATTTGAATGACCCTTATTTAAAGTAATTGTTCAGAAAGAAGGTAATGAGTACAAACTGTTGTAAGGAGGTGTTAGAAAATACAGAAAGAGTAAGGTAATAATGTTAAGTACATTCAACACTACAAAGAAAGTTTACATCGGGAAATGATAGGAAGTCTATTTTGTGTTAGTAAAAAGATAGGGGGAAAGAGATTGTATAAATTTAAACTAAGTTCAATTTTTGTGAATCCGAAGAAGAGTACAGTATTAGTACATGGTTGTGTTCATTTTTGTCGAATTAAGAGTGTGTATATTATGTATATTTGGTACATTATGAATTTTGATAAAGTTATGTTAAAAATAAAAACAAATGGCTGTTGCGGCAGGGTCTTCTGAGGTTGACTGTTGCATTTGTGGGCTTTTAAATGGTTTTAAGTGTTTCCCGTGATGTCTTTTTAACAGGACTACTTAATTTGTTTCACATTGTTTATATTTATGGTGTGCCTTTAATTGTATCTGTTTTAATCTATTCCATGAGCTACTTTGGATTCTGCAGTGTGGGAGAAAGGTGGCATATAAAATAAAATAAACACATTGCCTCCCACTGCAGTCAGCCAGCGCCAGTCCAGATTGGGAGCCTTGCCTTTGCAGTTTGCATTCATTAGAGGAGGCAGGAAGAATCCCCCTTCAGATGGCATTCAAACTGCGGCAGTCTACACATTCAGTTTTCAAGTGATGTAAATGCTTGTGTGGACCAGCTGCACGTGTGGATCGGGTCCCTGAGCCGAGAAGTCCTACCCAGCCCTTATCCTTGACATATGTGTAGCAGCACCTGCCTTCAGGGAGCTCTTAAGTGCAAAACTCCAGCTCCTGCTCCGAATTTGCTCGGAATTTATAGCATTAAGCACCAAAGACCTTTCACATTATTGGAAGGCAGTCTTTATGGCATGTGACTCTATAAGTTGTTTGTTCTTTTCTCTCCCCTTTTAAAAGCAGAATATGATCTCAAAATACCCTTGTGTCTACTGATATTTCAAGGTAAGGGAATTAACTGGAGCCGTTCCCATTTTCCAGATGTCATTTTTCCAAAATAAATAAGGGGTGAATTGTTATTCACAGCAATATCCTGCAGTTTTGTAGAAAAACCTGGACTTTCTCCAACGATAAATGTGTATCCTT